CATTCTCCATTTTCAGCAATTGTTTTGCGAAACCATCAGCTGATGCATCATTTTTTAGATATACCTATACGTCCCCTACACGCACATTTGTTAATAATAATTCAGGAATAAATGTTATAATAATAATAATAATAAGCAACCATCACTTTTTAACTTAACCTATCTTCTGCCCATATGTCTAATATATCTCTATMCTAAATTTCGTCGCAACCGGTCCACCCGTTTAGGAATACATAAAATACAAACAGAAATCCATTTATATCTTTTTAAAATGGATTTCTGTCTATCTGTCCARACTGATCTGTGAATCTAAACCATCCAGGGCATCACACAAACGCATACAAAAAAATTCATTCAAATCTGTCCGGCCGTTTAGGAATTCATTAACATACACGTCATGTACAATAGAATTATATGTATATATAAAGAATATTCTTCATTTGAGTGCGGACACGTAGATGCGGCATATTACCTAAGAGATAGGGCACCATTAGGACTAAAAAGTTGTAGGAATTGMATAGATATCTGTCTACATAGGTATCTACTCTCGGTTTATAGGAGTCTGAACTAGAAATGCATTCTATACAATAAGTAATGACTAAACTAGGTACCTAGTAAAAAACGCAACATTTAAAATACATAAATATTATTTTGCATATTTAGAAGAAAAAATACTTATTTCTTTATACAYAGATATTTTTTGTTCAAAAGATTAATCCAGACTACCAAACATCCAATTTTTCCATTGTAATAAAAAGTTTTGAAAGTCTATGGCCAACAATATATTACCTATATCTCTACATATTTTTTGGTCCAACAAGTTTCATTAATACAAACTATACTTAATGAAGATAATATTTATTGCTTATAGTAATATTATGATACTGAAGAAAATAATAAATAATAAATTTAATAATTTTTCCTTTTTTTAAATTTTGAATAATTTTTTTGCATATTTTATCAATTTAACCTCTATAACTTACAAATCCTATTTATCATTGATAACAGCAGTCACAGTAAAATAATTTTAATAATATACACATACATTTCATTTGAAAAATATTGAATGTTTAAAACTATTCATAAAAACATGATTAATTAAWTAATAGAATTCATCAGACTTTAATAATTAAAACAAATCAACGAGACAACCATATTTTTATGATAATCAACCAAAGCGTGATAAAATAGTATGTCTATAATTTAACCATACATGTTTAAAAAAAAAATTATTATAATCTAAGTTAAAATGTGGCGGCTAACAGGTGAAATAAAATAAAGTATAATTAATTGGAGTGCCATCACTCATATAAAAAATGACGTTATATTTCAAATATAATTTTTTTAATGGATGCGTAATTTGTTACTAATTACCAACACTCTGTTCACAATACATTTTTCTAATTTCAATTTAATTTTCTCAATATTATTACATATATAAATATATTATATTATGAGTGCGTATACACTGTAAAAACCTTTCATATTTACATCATACAATAACATTTTTAATTAGATAAAAATAGAATTTTGAAATTTGAGTAATTATTAATTTGATTATGGCTGAAGTATAGTACTACAACACTATTTCAATGATATAAATACATTTATTCTCTAATTACAAGTATTATCTGGTTTGTAATACAATTAACAAATTATTAGGCCATTATCATCACTAAATTAATAAATAAAGTTTAATATAAACAAACATTATTGTTAATTATAAATTTATATGATCATTATCGGTCAGCATTATATAGTGACAAATATCACTTTTTACGCTCAACAATATAGTTCAGTATACTATCAAAACTGTAATAATACTAGAGCTACAAACATAGCCGGTGAATTAAAAATTGGGTATATCAAAGTTACAGTAGGAAAAATATTAATATCAATAAGATGGAAATAATTAATAAATTAAAAAACAATTATTTTTAATTGAATCTCTCATATTTTTGAAGTGAAATTCAAAGATTCTTTCATATTTTTTTTATAAACTTTAAATAATATTTATTCTATAAAATATAAAGGAATTGCTTCTTTTTTCTATCTTATTTAATTAATTAGCACTTTAGTAGTATCAGATTCAATATCACAGTTTTGCTAGTGTTAAAATAAACCTATAGCAAAACACTAGATCTTGTTTTAACCAATACATTATCAATCCATGTAAGGATATTTCCATTCGGTCAATGGTACAAATGTTTCTTTGACAGATTGAGGTGAAGTCCATCGTAGAACATAATGTGGACCACCAGCTTTGTCATTCGTCCCTAAAAAAATAATTTTTTTTATGTAATAATAAGTTATACAATTCTATAATTATAATTTATACTACATGATCACAATCATAAATTTAATTAATTAAATTACTATGCTAGTTTATATTTTGTGAACAAATATTGAATCATTAACATCAGAATACAATGGCATACACAAGGGGTTGTGGTTTAGGGGCATGGCATTCCCGCTATTTCAATTGATATTAAAAAAAAATAAGTGATGTATTCTCAGATTTTAACTTCCCCCTTTATATTTCTGTGGTCACCCTAGTATTCAATGAAACATTAATTATAGACAAGGGGTGATCAACATGAATATGTTCATGAGCTACATACTTAAATTCAATGAATCAATAACCAAAATATTAGTGAATACGTTTTATAATTTTAAATAATTTGATCTAATCTGTACTTTTTTAACACAAAAGTAGTAAAGATAGCTAACAGCCGATAAACATATCAAATTACGAATTATATCTTTATAATAAAAATATATAATAAATTAATATGAAAAAAATTTTAAATTTAGGTTTTTGAAAACAAGACGCAAGTCACATATCGAYTATGAAACAAGCTGAATTTACAATTTATTGCTTATAATCTCAATCCTACATTGAATAGATTTTAATTTTAAATAACTAAGTCAAATTATGACAAAAAATTTAAAAATATTGGCTAATTCTGATTCAAAAGTACATGAAAACATATGTATAATAAAATGAGCATTACGACTAACATTGAACAAAATACAAAGAGCAACATAACATCATCTCTAATTTTAAGTAAAAATAAAATAAATTATGGTAAAAAAATACTTATCTACTCATGACTACACCTATTTATAAAGACATAAGTTATTAATAAATAACCCATTGTAAAATTAAATATTAATTCAAATTACCTGACATTCTGCTTCCACCAAATGGTTGTTGTCCTACCACTGAACCTGTAGACTTATCATTAAGGTAAAAATTACCAGCTGAGTACTTTAATGTTTCAAGAGATTTTTTTAAAAAGCCTCTGAAATAAAAACAATTCATTACATAACTACACAATATTTTCTAGTTAAATTCCWTACTTGTCCTGAGCAAATACAGCTCCAGTTAATGCATAAGGTGTAGAACTAATGACGAGATCAACTGTTTTATCAACTTCTGAATCTTTATAAACATAAACAGTCAAGAGAGGCCCAAAGATTTCTTCAGTCATAATTTTATCTAAAGGATCCTTAGTCTCAACTATAGTTGGTTGTATAAAATATCCTTTGCTAAATCAGAAAATTTCTTTATATATGYACAAAGATAAAATATTAAAATTAAAATATATTATATTTAATTACCTGTTGTCATACTGTCCTCCACCAATTATTTCCAAATTGGGAGACTTTTTGGCATGTTCAATATAACCAGTAATACGATTAAAAGCTTTGTCATCAATAACTGCTGAAGTAAATGAATCAAATTCATTAACATCCCCAATTTTCAACTTATTACGAATTTCCAGTAGTCCTTCTTTTATCTATTTATGAAAAACACAATTAAAATTAAGTAATACAAAAGTTACCATAAATAACAATATTACTTTAGGCCATAAAGATTGAGGAACGTATAATCTAGAACATGCGGAACACTTCTGACCACAATATTCAAATGAAGATCGAATAGTACCGTTAATAACAGATGTCACATCAGCTGTTGGATGTACAAAATGATAATTCTTGCCTCCACACTCTCCAATCAATCTTGGAAAATTAACATAGCTATTAATATTTTTTCCAASTTGTGTCCATAGTCGATTAAATGTCCTAGAAAAAAAAATTTATGAAACACATATAATATTATATTCATATTAACACAGAATATAGGGGTTATTCATTTATTAGTAATTACTAATTGCCTAAATAGTAAATATTGAACAAAATAACAAACATGAGATAGTCAGTCTGTTATTGATTCAAATGTTTACTAAATTTGAGATTRTTCATACAGGTTTTTATTTTATAAGAAACTTACAATCTGTTCTTAGCTAGAATAATAAGCAAATGTGGACCAAGTAATTACATATGAATCTTTTTAGGAAAGAAGCCACCCATTAATTGTTACTACCTACTTTGAGTTTTTTTTTTWAAATCTACTAAGCTATTTTAAATTTCAGATAGAAGGTCGCGACACCATCTTCCCTTAAACCACCTTGGGAGATTATCTGGAATGGATAAGATGGATAATTTTGTATAAGAGGATTAGAATGAAGAGATACTTTGGTGTGAAATCTTTTGCAGTGGCATTTTGCTACATCAAGTACTGTTCCTATTTTTAGGTCAGTATGGTGTGTAAAGATTGGAAATAAGGGGAGGGTCATTTTTTTTTCTTAGAGATATGTTTTGAAAAGTTTGAACTTTTTTTTGCGCTAACCCAGAGCTGGAGCCCACAGTTTCATATGGGTTTTAGAAGGTTTTATAATAATATTATCATTTTAATGTTTAGGTTAGTGTGTGTAGTATGTGTAGCAGTGAGMTTGTTCATACACGTATGCAGAAACTTTTTTTAAGTATATGATTGAGYACGATATTTCAATACCCAATAATTAAAAGGTTAAGAAGGACAAGATAGTTATTTTTATTGAGTCATTTAAGAAACATAATATTACTTAGTCTAGACATAAATACTGTCAGTKATATGCAGTTTAAGAAAATTTTGACTTTTAAATGTTGCAACACTGTTAATATACTATGATTAGAGTCAGGTACATTGGTTAATCACAGAAATTGTCATAGTATCCATAGTAACGATGCAGTGGGAAGAGTATCATACGGAAATCGCCATAATTGGTTTGTTYAAGTCAGAAWAATCGGCGTCWCAAATTTTCGGTCTCTTTCGACCACATAAAATGAGTGAACATTTTGTTTATCGTACCATAAAACAATATCATAGTACTGGTGATGTTATTGATCGGGTTAGAAGTGGTCGCCCTCGTTCTGTTCGAACGAAATTGGCGATCAAAGCCTTTGTTCGAAAATTAATCGTAACCYTCAACGAAAACAGAAAATCATCACTCGAGAGATGGAAATCAACACACGATCGATCTCTCGCATATTACGCGATGACTTAGGTGTGCGTGCATACAAAAGATGTACAAGCCATCTGTTGACAGACCGATTAAAGGCAATAAAACACGAAAAATCTAAAAAGGTAGCATCTTTTGTACGGTCGAAAAAAATTTAAAAATATTTTATTTACCGATGAAAAATGTTTACCGTAGAGGAAAAATTTAACAAGCAAAATTATAGGATATAATATGCTAGGTCATCATTAGAGGCGAGAAAGAAGATTTCACGCATTCAACGGGGCCACCACCCTGCGCAAGTAATGGTTYGKTGGGGTGTGTTATGGCCYTGTGTTACAGAGATCCATTTATGTAAGARAGRGGTTAAAATTGGGGCTCGTGTTTATCAGACAACTATCTTAGACTCTATAGTAAAGCCTCTTAATAATACTTTGTTCAAAGGAATCGATTGRGCATTTCAACAGGATCCTGGCCATAAGGCAAAAATGACACAAGAGTGGTTTGAAAACAATGTTACAAATTTCATTAAGGCATCTGATTAGCCTTACGCAAGCCCGGACTTCAGTCCGCTTGATTATGGGTTATGGAGCATTTTAGAGRAGGGAGCGTGTTAAAAACGACACGCAAATTTTGAGTCTCTCAAACGAAGTATTGTGATGGCAGCGGCAGAAATTTTGTTGGAAACGATTTGTATGTGTATTGCACAGTAGCCGGAAAATTTGAGTCATTGTATTGAAAATGAAGGGGGGCATTTTGAATAATTAATATATGATTCAAATTGTAATAAGTTATGCTATTCAAATATGTTTATAAAATTTTTATACGACTTGTTGCTCTTGAGTAATATACGTTTGAAGTACTGACAGTATTTTTTATGTCTAGACTAAGTAAACATATTTAAGTAAAATATTAAGTTATAAATTTCTATTTAACTAAAATATGTTAAAATTCACACAGTATTCTGTACGTGAATATGTAATATAATTAGTAATTACTGAATTAAACATTGAAGCATAAATTTCATATAAAACATTTCTTACGGAACTGATCCAGTAAAGTTGATTCCTGATAAATGTGGAGATGCAGTAATAGTATCACCAAATACAGGACCGTCTGCTGGAATAAAATTAACTACACCAGGTGGAACTCCTGCTTCAGTCATTATTTTATAAATCACCCAGTTTGATAACAAAGCTGTATCTGAAGGCTTCCATAAAACAGAACACCCCTAAAAATCAAAATTACAAATAAAATATAGGTAATATCGAAAATTATTTTTAAAATAATAATTACCATTAAAGCAGGAGTGTATGCTAAATTCCCACCAATTGCAGTAAAATTAAAAGGAGATACAGCAGCAACAAATCCATCAAGGCCTCTATAACGCAAACTATTTAATGTAACTTTTTTATTTTCACTAATTGGTTGATATTTTGTCAATTCCTTAGCAAAAAATGCATTTAATCTATAATTTGATAAATATTAGTTCAATAGTTTTCAACAATTACATTCACACTTTTAACAAACTTGATAAAATCTATTAATTCAGCAGCCGCATCAATTTCAGCTTGTATAACTGTCTTTGATTGACCAAGCATAGTAGCTGCATTCAACTTCATTCTATATTTTGTCGCCATCARGTCAGCCGCCTTAAGCCAAATACTTATTTTTTCTTCCAAAGGCACAGTATCCCATTTTGTTTGAGCTTCAGTAGCAACTTTAATTGCTTTTGCTACTAAATCCTTTTGAGCAAATAAAAAAACTTAATAACTGRCTATTGATATTTTAACAGTGAATAAAAATACTTACTGATGATGCATAGTAAAATTTTGCAATTTTCTTGCTGTGATTGTGAGGCTAAAACCAAAAATTCCATTAAAATATGTATATAAAAAATAATATTTTTTTTTAATTCACCTTGACAACTATAAATCTTCATTAAATTAAGTTAAAGAAGAGGAGATATAAATTATTTTAAAGGTAATTCTTGTCCGCCTACGAATAGGCCACGCGCGCATGACACACAGATATCTCATGGCCAAAGAAGACCCTCTATCATGCCTGACGTGTGGAACAATCATCAGTCAAGCATATACTAACAGAATGTCATCAATTCAGTGAAAGGCGCATTGAACTTAAACTACCCGATACACTTTACGAGATGCTATCACCCACTCCCGAGACGACCAATAAACTCCTCAATTTCGTCAACTCAACAGAACTGTGTCAACTGATTTAAATATTCTAACTTAGATTAAAATGTAAATTTTTAATTATAAGTAATAATTAGA